ATATGCAGTATACCCCACCTCTTCTGACTGTTTCCACTTCAGGTCCCTGGTATTGGGATGGTGAGTCTAGCTCCTATGGTGCTGGAGTCCTCCCGGCCTGTGACTGCTGAGTGGTGTAATTTGGTGTCTCCTACCATTTGTAAGTCTGTAACTGCTGTTTGCAGCTATGTGGGGCGGGCATCTTTTTTTTTTTTTCCCGAAAGGCAACCCTGTTGTCTCTAGAATTGTCTCCATTGTGTGAAAGGTGATCCTGTTTGAGTCTTTTTCGCACCTTACAACATATTAATTGCTTCATGCATTTGCAGCCTTTCCTCTTCCCTAAAGTTTTTGGGGTGTGGAACCCTACTAAAAGTTTTGTGCAACTAATGATACTGCCCATATGGTTATATTATTTAATTCAGCTGTGTGGTGTTTGTCACAAATTCTCAGCTTCAACCCCCTGGCTGTAGCCCCCTGCCTGTGTGCTCCTGTTGAACCCTTGCAACACCTGGCTTCCCAGCCTACTTCACAGGCACCTTGATGACTCTGCCTTGATGACTTGATCATCAAGGGAAGGGAACTATCAAGAGAAAGCTCCAAGCCATTACAACTATACAGGCCTTCACCCTACTGTGAAGTAGAGTGAAGTAGGCTAAGAGGTTATCTATTTAACTAGACATTCTCAGGGTGCTAGTCATTTCAGAGCTGGAGGTTGATGTACAGTCGGCCATATCAGGATTTGCTTGGGATCGTCATTTTTGTCTTAAAAATGTGTACTCCCCCTATTTTTGGTTGAAAGGCTTATTTTCCCCTTCCTGGAAAAAGTAATGGTCCCATTGTTGGGGTCCCAATTCTTCACTCCTGATTCATTGTTGAGATTCTGCCAGAGACCGGATCCCTTAGCTGGCCCTTCATCTTCCTCTGAAGCAGTTTGGTAGTGGCATCATTTGAGATCATTTATTTGTTCCTGTTTGACTTTATGAAGGTTTGGTGACGATGTTTACTCTAGTTCCTGTTTACATAGTTGTGTGTGATTCCCTTTACTTCTGACCTGTGTTGTTCACCTGGATTATTTGACGTTGGTTTGAGCCCATCTGAGGGCGAGGTACCTCTGTCATTATCTAGGCACTAGCTTATATTCTCTCCAGTGTCACCATTTGTCTGCGGGGGTCACTGGAAGGGGCTGCCTGCCTCTGGTTGCTTCTGCTTTTATCTTGCCTATATGCTAATGTGATGAATGTAGGCATGGAGGTGAAAGAATTATGCCTTGGGGGGGCCTGTTTTTCAAAACTTTTCTGGTGTTTGTTCTCCTGTACTGCACTCTCTTTATAGTGAGCTCAAGGGCTAAGCTATTCTACCTTGGTTGCTTTATGCCAGCTTATCCTGCTATTGTCAGGGGTGGCACAATGGTTCAGTACCCTTTTAACCTTTATTTCTATCAGTACTGTACTTGCTTTGGCAGTGCTTCCACTACTTTTGGGCTGGTATGCAGCTGTAGGAACCCTAAATTCTGATACTGCACATGTCTTTTGTTTTTTCTGGGGTCAGGTCTCAATTAGGGAGGAATTATTATTATTACTTGTTTAGTAATTATCAATTTTGTTTTAGTAGTTTGGCACTTTATAAATCATGTTTTCAGAGGGAGTTTTAGGGTCTTATGGCCACCTTTCATTACATTTAGGGACAGTTTAGGGTAATTGATTCTCAAATGGTTCCTGTCTCACAATGTGGTAAATGACAGACTGGAAAGGCCCTTGTTCCTAATAGGCAATGAAAGTCTTTTGGAATACCTGGTGTTGCCTGTGTCTGACTGGTAAGAGCCACATTATAAGTCAGGAAAGCCACTGAGGGGTTTGCCCAGAAAATCACTTGGGTTCCAATGTATTATTTACACTAAAAGTTAATTCAGAAACTCGTCCCTTATTTACGGTAATGTTCTCAACATTATAAAGGGGCACACAAAGCTGCCTCACTCATCCTCAGAGTGTGTCCAACTGGAACATATATGTAGGATTCTTGAACTTGTGTATAGAACTGAGAGGTGCTTACAGGTGGTTTTCTTAGTTATTGTCATTTTCTGGGTTTCAAGCATAAAACTATGTACTGCCTCCACTATGTCCGTGATGAAACCATTATCGAAACCAGCTCTATAAAGCACTCCTGTATTCATATCAAGGTTAAATGTTAGTTTTTTAATTTCAATCTAAGACCTATGTTGAGCAAGCAGGCATTAATAGGGAAACATTTTAGCTAATCAATTGCTACTGATAAATTTTAGGATTTAGTAAATGATATTTACAACTATTACACATTTCAGATACATACACAACTGCCAAGAGCCCCCAGAATGAGTTCCTGTAATAATAAAAAATTAAAAAACAGCGTTGAATGTAATAAACACCATTTTTTGGGCGAGACCCAGAGCCTTCCCGGAGTTATACCAGGCTGATGTGTATATATTAGACCGTGGCAACAGTTAATCGATGGAGTTCTAACCTACCGGGGACCACGAGCCAGAACCTAGCTCCCCTCAGATGAGGCACGAGGAGCAATGGCCAATAGACACCCCCATGTAATTGGAAGCAGTCTATGTCTGCCATCTACCAGGTCCAGCACCCATGTAACAGGGCCCAGTCTTTAACCTCACATACTGGTTAAATGCTGGTCGTTATTAAGTAATCCTACATACCAGAGTTCTGTGGAGTAACCTTTAGTTCAACTTCTCGAAATCTAAAACGTTCGATCATTTAGATATCACGACCCGAGGACACCGTACCCTTTTATGCTACTCTGCAAACCTCTGAGACGCTGCCATCACCTGCTACATCTACCCACTGATGTAGTTCCCAGGGACAGTAGGTTACAGGAACTACTGTCCCTGGGAAGGTCTCCAACCGAGCCAGAACCCGAAGCAACAGCTGAACCGTAGGAAAGAGGTACAGGTAACCCCCACCTCGACCAGTCCTGCTGAAAGGCATCCACCACAAACGCCTCGCAGTTGGGGAGGGGCGTCAAATAGACTGAGACGCTGATACCACGTCAACGAGAAGAGGTCCAGAGTTATCTTGAGTTATCTTGAGATGATTTCGGGACCTGAATGGGGCAGCCCCCGAAGCCGCCCAAGTCTCATTACCAACTAAACCCTGTGCTGAATCCGAAACCCTCAGACGTTTGGGAGCCGGACATGGGGGAGGTGGAGGATGAACAACAGGGAAAGGACCAGGGAACACGGAGAGAACAAAATTTGAAGCGACTATCGCTACCAGGTCCAGGTCCCCAAAAGCAAAGCGGGGCAGTCGCGGGGCAACCGGGAGGGAAACCAACCTAGTGTGTTGCAGTAACCTACCTTGAGGTGCTTCCAAGGCTTAGCGTCCCGCGGCCCGGTCGTCGACCAGGCCTAAACCTAACATGCAATGCGGATTCTGCCTGTACTTTAACAGCAGTTTCCTTGGGATTGTAGGGAGTTTCTACCTCTGTTTTTTTGTTTTAGTTTCTTACCATGTGGGGTTTGTTTTGTTATGCCTACCTTTCTGGGTGCCTAACCCCGGTCGATGACATAAGAAAACCCCCCAACCACAGGGGGGGTTTTCCAGGGACATTGCTCCCTGAAACCTCTCTGAAGGGGCCAGGTTCTGGCGCTGGTTCCTGGTAGGTCTGAACTCCATAGCTAATATCCCAGTCTTCCCAGGGGTTTTGACCAAGTTACTAAATTATATAGGGAGATTTATGTACACCAGAAATGGAAGTGGGAGATGTGCAGATTTTCTAAAGATATTCTATCAGAGTTACAGACTATTGGGAATGTTGCCCATCATATGACAGGTTGAAATAACAATTTTACTCAGTGAAATTAGCCCATAGTATGCAATAAATACAGTGGAACCTCGGTGCATGATTGCACCTGAATAGTACGACAAAATGTACGACAAAAATTTAATTGGAAAATATGCTCTGGTGTACAACTTTCGATCCAGAGTATTAATCACTCAATCATACTTGTCCAAATCGGTAAGATCAGTTTACACTTATATCCTGCCTAGTGATTATCATGCTTGATTTCTCAGTGAACAATTTCATCTTTTTGTGCTTTTTTTTTATTGCTTAAGTTAATATTTTTAGGTGTGTGGAACAAATTAATTCAATTTACATTATTTCTTTTGGGAAAATTTGATTCGGTGTACAAATATTCAGGTTGCATTACATTCTTTAGAATCGATTAAATTCATACACCAAGGTTCCACTGTATTATGGAATGACTGATAACTTTCTTATTATGGCACCATCATGTTTTTAATGATTTTCATAGATGGACACAATATTACAAGAAACAGTTGGAACCTTAGGAAAACTACTGAGGATATTTAAAACCACATTCTATGGTTCATTTTAATTTTCAGTTGCAGCAGTTTTCATTCACAAAAATATTCAGTATTCACCTGGCCCTTCTTTCTTTGAAAGAAGCAGCTTTGAGTTTTTGAGGCTGGGGTGTGGGAAATATGCTTATGTGGTGAAATCCCTTTACAAACATATCTCTCTTGAATTTGTTTATTATGCATGGAAATATGATTCATGTTGGCTGTGGCACAAAAAATTGTGAATACAGTATTGTACATTCCTTTTTGGACATTCCTGATAAGAATTCCTGCTAATCCAGATGTCTGGCTAACTCTTAGAGGGACGGGACCCATATGATCAGAATTACCGAGAGTAGACAGTACAGTATACTCAACCGCCTAATTTGTTTATGTTTCTAGCACCACATCCTAGTCTACCGCATACAATATGTGGACTCGCTTCACCAGAAGTCTACCATTATTTGACTTTGTAGACAATCACAATCTAGCAGTTGAAAAAGAATCCCGTCATTGCATCCAGACTTTCGGTGGAAGTCTGTCTGAGGAAAAGTCAACTGTGAAGCCTTTGGTATGGACCATAACAGATAAACAAGCTTCAGCCTGTAGTTAAGTTGGAGGTATCATTAATTCATATATAAAAGCATCATTTCCATCATAATATCTTACCTGGAGCAAGTCCTAGGAATCCATCTTTAGCCTGGACAAACATATTGACATGGACACAGCATAGTTGGCCATCTTCAGTAAATCGCCATGTTTGTGTTAGTCTTCGTCGATCATCTGGCTTTCTCAACATCAGTGGAGTATATTCTGTGGGTTGAGGTGCAGGACCAGCTATATCCAACACCTGTTGGAACACAATGTCAATTCAACACGGCTGGAACGCAATATCAATTCAGTATAGTAGAACGTTTAAATTTCTATACAGTATTTTAGAAAATCAATCACTTCATATTGTTCCCACTGGTCATTGGATATAACACTAGATTTTAACAAAAGCAACAGGCAAAGACTTGTATCAAGCATACATGTCTTTGCTGGCCATGAATCTTAACTGGCTCAAGTGACAGATGAGGGTGAAGTATACAGAACGTCAAACATGATTACATAATAAACTATTGTGATTTAAGACAATCAAAACCATCCAGCCAAACACACGATGAAACTACTGCAACATGTTGCTGCAACATTCAAACAAGTTGTAACACCTTCTAAAATGTCATAAAAACTTTATAACAAGATGTAACAACTTTGTAACAAGGTAACAATAGGGACTGTTATGTTGTATGTTTGCAGGGATAATATTTATTATCTCCCTAATCTTTTATCAGTATTTGGCAAAGTAACTAATGGATAACATTTATTTGATAAAAAACCAGCGTTGAATGTAATGAAATGCCATTTTCTGGGTGAGACCCGGAGGCTCCCCGGATCTTACTAGGCTGATATGCTAATGTCAGACTTTGGCATCAGTCATGTGTATGGAGTTCTGTGGGCCTACCGGGGACCATGAGCCAGAACCTGGCCCCCTCTAGAGAGGCAAGGGGAGCAATGGCCTATTGAAACCCCCGTGTGGGTGGAAGCATTCTATGTCTGCCATCGACCAGGTCAGGCACCCAGAAAGGTAAGCATTCCAAAACGAACCCCTATTCTGGTGAAATTATTGCTACCAAAAGCCGATCAACTGGATAGAACTCCCCTAAAAGAAACAAGCAAATGATCATGACGTCACACGTCGCCGCGCCACTGTCTACTTAGCTCCCCCCACCCCGGGAGGGGAAAGGGGGAGCCCCAGACCCCTCGCGCCGGCTATCCACCATCAGTTCTGAGGCTGGATGTCAAAAAAAAAAAAAAAAAAAAAAAAAAACGCTGACCAAAGGAAGGGAGGGATGCCGAGGAGCCTCCAGGTCTCGCCCAGAAAATGACACTTCATTACATTCAACGCTGGTTTTCTGGGGGGGGGGGGGAGCCCCTTTGGCTCCCCGGAGCTAACTAACCACAGAGGAAAACAGAGGAACTTACCAGGGAGATGGACGCTGCTCACTCCTCAACTCGAAGTCGAAACAACTGGCTGCAGCCACCGACCCAAGGCTACACACACAGCCGAGAAGGGCCAGGAACATTAACGAGGTATCGTGCGGCCAGGACCCTGTTCAACCTCTAAAAGCCCCGTGCCCGAATGGCAGCCCAAGACATATTACCAAAAACACCAACTAAAGCCGCGAACTTACGAATGTCGTGGGTACGGGGATAGACCGCAAGCTGGCTGGACCAATAATCCTGCGGACAACCTGGGATACCTGCACCCTGTAACAGGGAAGAAGGGAAACCGTGTCCAGCCAAAGCACGTCCCCTACCACAGAGGCTGTGGCACGCAAATAAAAGCTAAGAGACGCCAACGGACACAGAACATTATGCAGCCCCGGCCGAACAAACCATGCATCAACAACCCAAGGACCCCTCCAGAAAGCAGCAAACTCATTCTTCACCAGAAAAGAAGGAGATGGCTACAAACGAACAAAATGACCACCAGGACCGAAAAAGCAGAAGCCCCTGCACCGGAGGAGAGCTTGAAGTTCCCCAACATGACCCCCAGAGGCCAGTGCCAACAAGAGCCTTAGGAAAACAGTCTTGAACCGAAGGGGCCACCACAAACTGAGGAGAATAGAGAAAAGAAAGCACCTGGTTCAATGACCAGAATGGCTCAGGCGATGCATGAGCAGGCCGGAGGTGAAATAACGCCCGAGAAAGCTTGCAGAACGGAACAGAAGCGACATCCACCCCGAAAGCAAGCTGAAGTGGTTCTACCAGCACTGCATGTTACGAGGTGACAGCATTCGGCATAAGATGATGGTGCTGAAACAACCAAGAGAGAGAGGACAAAGCAACCTAATCAGAAATCGAAGACAACCTACGAAGTGACAAAAAGTGTCAAAAGGACTGTCAGGAAACTTCATACTGCCATCTAAACGAAACTCGCAGGTGGGACATCATCAACGAAGCCACCTGATCACCATACAAGTGGTGATAAACCCACGTCAAGAGTGGAGAAGATCAAACCAGCCATGTACTGGACCAGACCGATCTGATGAAAGAGGCAGAGCCGCAGGAAGACTCCTTGGGTTCGGGCACCGAACATAGGGAGCAGGGCGCTTCCCTGTCACCTGGAGTTTTGACATGCACTATGCCTCCTATTGATAAAGGTGAGCTGTTAAAAAAAATACAAATGGAGAAAGTACATAACACTTATGCATGACAAATAATATGAATATAAAAGAGCTTCTACCACCTACCAGAACATTGTTATATTTTCTAGCTTTCTTGCTTGTGGGATCATGAGGGGGAGATGATCCTTCATGTTGTAACATTCCTGTTGACGTCATACGCCAGAGCTGTGATCGCCTTCCGATTTCCTTTCGTGCCAATTTTACCCTTGTTCCCTCTGGAACATCAAGGACTAGCTGCTGGCACTCTACTGTAGTTGGGTCAAATGTCACATCTCCGTTGTCTGGACTCTCATTACTTCCACATGTTCTGCAAAGTTAAAATTGTAACTTAATGTTAAGAACTACATGCAGCTTTTTCACAAAAGTTTTTTATAAAACTAATACTGACAGTATATATTAGACACTTGGTTCCTTTCATGTTGATACATTATCTAATATAACTTAGAAATGATAGACACTGCCTTAGGAATAATATGGTAGAGGAGCAATCACAGGAATTAATATTACTGGTACTAATACTAAAAAAATTTCACTTTGTATCAACATTTTATAGTTTCACCATCTTTGTGTTTGTGCAAACTTATGCAGATAATGTTATACTTTGTCTACATAATTAATGAGGAATTTTGGTTAGTGTGGTAATGTTATTTTCCAGTGATTTTACTCTGTGGGACAAGTATTATGGAAGTTTAGGTGTTTTGGACTATCCTTGCTCTTTCATTCCTATAATACTTTCTTATCATCTCTAGCCTACTGCCCTTCCCATTCATGATAAGTTGTAAATCAAGTACTAATGATTATGATGTAGCAGCTTTCAGAAATATTTCACTTCGCTATTACATACCTCACCAAACTCCAGTACTGTATAATGTTTCATGGTTGTTCTGCCTCATTCATATTGTGCATTTCATCACCATGTAATGGCAACAATTTCCACTGACTCTGTCTTAGTTTTGCACTTTTATTTAAATGCTCACTATGAATGGTTGACTAATGATGATCCAGTTATTTACACTTCAGGGCCGGGACCCTTTTCTGCTCTACTAATCAATAGAAAAGGCACAACAACAGATATACATGTTCAGTTCATACACCAGTAATGTTCATTGTCTCCCAGAAGGAACACAGTATTATATGAACACCTTTGCTGAGGACACTAAGCTACTAGGAAAGATAACAAATTTAGACGAGTGTCATGCCCTTCAAGAAGATATGACAAAATAAGTGTATGAAGCAACACTTGGCAAAATGGAATTTAGTGTGAATAAATCACATTATGAAATGTGGAATAGGAGAATAGGCCACACACAACCTACAAATAATGCAAAAATGCTTAAAAGAATACTGATTAAAGAGAGCTAGGGATGGCTCTGGACAGAAAACTGATACCTGAGGACCACATAAAGAACACTGTGTAAAAAGGATCTGCTGTACCTGCTTGATGGGTGTTCTGGGAGTTCCTCTACTCCCCAAGCCCGCCCTGAGGCCAGGCTTGACTTGTGAAAGCTCGGTCCACCAGGTTGTTGCTTGGAGCGGCCCGCAAGTCCATATACCCACCACAGCCCGGTTGGTTTTGCATTTCTTTTTAGAAAAATCTAATTTTATCTTAAAGATGTTCCCAAGTTCCCACAACTTCCACACAAGTTTCAACCAACTTCCCGGTTGTTCCCACAATATTTCTAACTGTGTACTGAGTACTCTTCCTTCTTCCGGTGCTTCCCCCTGCTAGGTCCTCGTGAGAGTACACGTCCCGGGGGTTCAGTTATTAGAAGGCTGTTTGGTAAATTTAGGCGCCGGTTAGCAGTACCCTGCCTGGGATTACCCGAGCGCGAATCTTTTTATAGTAAATGCTCAGGACCCTGGGAAACTCCTAGCGGAAGTGTGGGCCCGATGGATGTGGCCCCGGAGTCCCCCTCTTGCTTTGTGCGAGTTCGAGGTTTGCTCTGTCCCCTTGTCTCAGGGTGACTCTCACTGTTTTGCCTCCGTCTGCTGCCTGTTGGGTCGGTGGCACCTTCGACCTGAAGCCCTGCGAGTTTTGTTGCTTGTTTTTGGCTTCATTACCCAGTCTTATGCTGACTATGTGGGTGCAGGCAGCACGGGCTTTGCACGTCATGTTTCGCTGTTGGCGACGCTCTAGGTTGTTTGCTCCCCAGAAGCCCCGAGGCTGCCTTGTTTTGGTTGGTGTGACGAGGCTTGGGGGGTGTTGGTTGCTTCAGTTTCCTTCCACGCCCCTTTGTCTTTCCCCTGCTGCGGTTTAGTCTGTCCCTCCCTCCTTCCTCCCTGCATCTGGGTCCTTACCGTCTATGGGTTTGGGGGTTGGGGCGGGGCTTCAATGGTTTTGAGACTCGGGCGGTCTCGGGGAAAATTCCCTTTCCAGGGTAGCAACAGAGGCATTTGAGCCTGTTCCTCCAGCCATGTTGTATGAGTCTGCCAGTGGGCTTCCTTCCTTAATACTTTTCGCGGCTGCCCTGGTTTTTTCTTGTGTGGTCGGGGCTTTGGGGGGACGGCTCGGCCCTGGGGCCTGCCGTGTGGGTTCCCGGGGCTGGGGAGGGGCTGACTTGGGGGGGGCCCCAGGCCCTGTTGGACCCCGCCTGGGTTGTTCTACCCTCTGAGCGGGGCTTGCGGTTACAGGGAGTGGGGTTTTTCCTTCCCCCCTCTTTGTACGAGTTGTTGGGCATCGGCCCCTCCCTGGGCTCGGTTCCTTGTTCCTTTAGTCCATTGATTCCGTCATATTGGTGGGCGCTCTTTTCAGTTTAGTCACCCCCCTTTTTTCTTGGGATGGGACTTCCCTGTCATGTTCCCCTCTTTTTGGGGTTCTGCACGACTTTTGGTCTCGGATGCAACTGTGCTTTTATGAGCCTTCGTGGTTTGTGCTTGCTTCTGTGTGTTTTCGAAGGTTCAGGAACATTTTTCGCTACTTCCCGTATTATTGGAACATCTGGCGTCTTTCGGTGTGGCTTCCCTCCAGTCTTTTCTAGGGCTTGTTGATCCTCTTCTGGGCTTATTCTGGGTATTCTACTGAACTTACTGGATCAAGTTCTACTGAACTTACTGGATCCCGTAGCCTCTCCGAGGCACAAAAGCCTGGTTTGTGCCTCGGAGAGGCTACGGGATCCAGTAAGTTCAGTAGAACTTTGGTTTCAACCCTTTCACCCTATCGTAGCTCAGTCGATTAAGGCAGTGTCTGGGATGCTCCCGGACGCAGGTTCGAATACTCGTCACGGCCCTTGTGGATTTGTTCATTGGCTGTCACTAATGTTATTTATATCACAGAACGTGTAGGACATAAGTATGCACTAATACATTTACATTAATATATTCTTTAAAAAATAGAACGTATGGGTTTTGCTGTTATTACGCCGAATGCAAATGTTATATATAACTACATTTTTATGCACCATAATGAACCACTAAGTCAGCCTGGTGAGTGCGATAATTTTGCAATCTAAGCACAGCATACCATCACAATTGCTGACAGAACCTGACAGCAAAATGCCTCCCAGTATACTACAAACAATTATAACTTTAGCCATAACACTTTATTCTATTGTTATCAGAATCCTTTTCACTAAATCATCAATATGAATCATTTTCCACAAGTTTACTTTCTGAAGAAACAAGAGGTCTCATTTCATGATGCGTAGATGCACCAAACTGTTGCCAAGTGATGTGGATATCTATCTCATGCTCTGAATATCATAACGAACAATGGGTTAATTGATATCTGAACCTTGTAAATAGTTTGTAACAGAATCAGGCTCTTATATGACAATCATTGTTAATTAATTGCAGTTATTTATTTAGGGTCCCAGTAACACAGTCAGGTTCGTCCTCGACGTAAAATCGAGAATTCCGGGTTCAAATCCCAGGCTGGACAAAAAATGGCCGGGCACATTTCCTTTCACCTAATACCTGTTCACCAAGCAGCAAGTAGGTACTCAGGAATCAGTCAGCTTGTTGTGGGTTGCATTCTTGACGGGGTGGTCAGTAATTCAATCTAGGGCCGGGGGGGGGGGGGGGAGTGAGACCTTGATAAAAGCCTAAAGTGTATGAATACACTCAGGCTTCCTGTTCCCCGACGCAGTGAATTATTATTTCAACATTATTAAGTAATGCTGTGGGCACAAGGTACATGGCATAGCTATTAACTACTGCTGCAGCATGCGCTACTCATGGTTGTCCTTTCAGTAGTACTGACGCCCCTCACAGTGGGGCCCCACACGAGTGACCACGATTTTTTTCCCAAGATGGGGTGTGCTTACTGAGGCTTAAGGAAGTAGATGTGAGCCCTGTGTACCTGCAGGAATTTTAAATCTAAAGCGGTATTTTAAAATTTCCCCAACTGTGCCGCACAGTGTACAGATAATAAGCGAGATCATTCCCAGCTGTGCCGTGCTTTGGAAAGGTTAAAGCAGTTTCAAAGCATACACAATGCTCAGTTAAAAAAACAAAAGAGCAAAGATCAATGCACTTTCAAAACAAACTTACTAAAATCTTAGAAACATAAAGTAAAACTAGAAAGCGGAAAACTAACTTAGAAGATTAATATTCAGATCACCAAAATCTCTGCAAAGTTTTGCGACTAGCATATGGGATGTGTGATAAGCCATGAGTATACAGCAGGCACACAGGCAGGAGCGAGAGGCAGCATTCCAAAACGCTTGGTAAATACTTACATGTGTAATGGCAATCTTCTTCCAAAGACATAAAAAACTCCTGTTAGTTAAAAGGGTTTTGTGGAAAGTATGCTGCATAAAAAATTAATATTTTTGTTAAAATAATGTGAGGCACTATTTGCAAATAGAAAAGGAGTGGGGGAACACTCAAGCAACCACAAGAATGAAGTGCATTTGTCAAAAACGTATAAGAATCTATCCTTTATATTATCCATACAAATAAAAGCCACCAAAATGAATTGTATATAAATACTTACTTTTGGAATGTTCCGGCAAAGGCAATATAGATGAAATTTTCATAAGTGAGTGTAGCTCCTTTGCCAAGAACATTCATATTGTAAGTAGCTGACGTTCCTCCAGGAGCAATGCATGTTAGGTGGGGCGGCAAGGTGACTTCATCCCATGCATATGCTACGCAACATCTAGACTTTACTATAGTTCTTAATCGTTCCTCTTGTGTACCTGTCTGTAAAGTGAAAAAGACCAACATTGAATGTAATGAAATGCCATTTTCTGGGTGAGCCTCGGAGGCTTTTATTAAATGAGATTATTCCAGTCTATATTTCTGTAGGGAGCCCTGGTGGTTCCCTGAAGCTATCTGAACTGATATGTGCTATATTAGTTTGGGGTCATCAGTCATAAGAGTTCTCATGCCTACTGAAAACCACGAGTCAGAATCTGGTTCCCTCAGAGAGGTGCAGGAAGCAATGGCCTATGAGCACTTTACATTTAATGTCATAATTGCCATCGACTGGGGATGGACCCAGAAAGTTAGGTGAATCAAAACATACCACTGTCTAGTTTTGTGCAAACTACATCCCTAAAGATCAAAATAACTTTCCTAGAAAGAAACCAAACGAGCAACCCCTCAAGCGGCTAGCACTTCCTGTGCTAGTCTTAAGCTATGCTGTTGAAAGAACACCTGTTGGTAAGGGAGTTAATATTTGATAACCCTAGAGAAATTGACAAAATGGCATTGCAGGTATGGAATCAGGATGATAAACCGATAATTGTAAATGTCTACAACCCAAACTTTCCCAAGTCAAGCCTGGCTTTGGGCCGGGTTTGGGGGAGTAGAAGAACTCCCAGAATCCCAGTGGCTCCAAGAACTGAAAGGCAAGAGCTATGATGAGAGGTTAGAGGCATTAAATATGCAAAAACTAGAGGATAGAAGAAAAAGATATTATAACAGGAATCGATTCCTGTTAATAGTAACAGGAATCGATAAAACTGATAGGGAAGAATTCCTGAGACCCGGAACTTCAAGAACAAGAGGTCATAGATTTAAACTAACAAAACAAAGCTGCCAAAGATGTATAAGAAAATTCACTTTTATAAACTGAGTGGTGGACGGTTAGAACAAGTTAGGTGAGAAGGTGGTGGAGGCCAAAACCGTCAGTAATTTCAAAGCGTTCTATGACAAAGAATGCTGGGGAGACGAGACACCACGAGCGTAGCTTTCATCCTGTCACTCCACTTCGGTAATTACACTTGGGTAATTACTCACACACACAAACACACACACACACACACACACACACACACACACACACACACACACACACACACACACACACACACACACACACACACACACACACCTCCACTTTCTCACATTCAAACAATCCTTAATTCCCATCTTCAAGGTCTCTACTGAATCATACTTCACAAACAAGTCGCCATTACAACTGTAATAAGACTGTATGTCACCCCAAGTGCGAAGACATCATCAAGCGATGAAGTCCTCAAACTGGGAGTGATTCCCGAATGCCCCTGGGAAGATAACCTTGACACACAAGGGCAGTACTCACAAAGCACCTAGGGAAGGTCATCATAGGTACATGCTGCTCCTGAGCTGTGTGTTGGTGTGGTGGCCACCACCACACCAACACACAGCTGGAACAACCACACAGGGCAAAAATACAGAACAGGAACTTGAGGCCAGAGGTGACTGATCTGACTACCAGCACATGAATTCAAGAACTGGAGTGGTGGGCTGCCGGCTTCCCCTTTGCCCCCAATGGTGGGGGGGGGGGGGGGGGTAGTGGTATTGAGCGGAAATGCTAGTCACATGAAGGGTTGCTAATTTGGTTTCTTTCTAGGGGGGTTATTTTGATCTTTAGGGATGTAGATTGCACAGGTTAACTAGACAGTGGTCTGTTTTGATTCACCTACCTTTCTGGGTCCTTCTCCGGTCAATGGCACTTATGACAAACATTAACTGAAAAGTGCTCATAGGCTAGCACATCAATTATTTATTTATTTATTTATTTTTTTATATATATATATATATATATATATATATATATATATATATATATATATATATATATATATATATATATATATATATATATATATAAATAAATAAACTTTTCAACCATTTCAACTTTTGGAATACAGTACATGTGCAGGTCATGCCTCTAGGACAGATACCCTGAAGAACTGGGATTTATTTTGTATTAAAGTTTGTGGGAACATGCTGTACTTGCACAGTACAGCCAAGGAACAAAACCAGTGTCTGTGGCAATTCTTTTTCCATTTATTTGTTAACAATATATGCAAAAATATGTTCTATTATTTGCATCAATATAAATAATGGTGAAGAAAAGCAATTGGATGAACTGGGAGGGTATGAAACAAATCTGTGTTCCAATAACATTCCACTGCATTTTCATTTACCTAACATCACTTAATTACACAGGTCCTGAATGCCTGATATCTGGGTACAGTTTTTGTCAATAAACATGTAAATTCTGAATAATTACAAAATATTACAATGCCAAATTACTGGCAAAATGCTAAATAAATGCATTTTCTTACCTGATAGTAAGTTATCGTAACCTCCGAGAAATTGTCAATGCGGAAAGGAGGTGGAAGAGTGTCAGCATCAGTAAAAACAATGAAGTATGTTGCCTCGTTTATGATAACTTCTACACGCATGAAGAAGCAATGCCCACTGTTGTCTCTGTTAAGTGGTTATTATTCATTACATAATGATTTAAAATAATAATTTCAACAATATATAAATACTTTTCCATTTCTTCAATAATATGTTTATATACACCTACTGTATTTTGACCAAGTATACAAATTTAAGAATGGCTATTAGCAAATGAATGAGTGGCTGTTTTTAGAACAATAGTACAATATACACAAATCATAATAGCGTGATACATCAAATGAACAAATTCACAATGGCCGTGATGAGGGTTTGAACCTACGTCCGGGATGATCTCAAACGCACCTTAGTCGATTGCACTACGACATGGTAAAAGAATTGCAACCAGGAGTACTACTGCCCTCACGAGGATTGTGTGAGGACAGTAGTACTCCAAGTCAGTCTCTCCGAGATACAAACCAAGGTTTTTACACAATTTCCCCATACACCCGGGCTCTGTCAATAAGCTGTTCTACCTCTTCGCCCTTACTTCAATATACACAGAATCACAATAGCGTGATACATCAAATGAACAAATCCACAAGGGCCATGATGAGGGTTCGAACCTATGTCTGGGATGATCCCATTTACGCCTGAGTCGATTGCGCCACGACATGGTAAAAGAATTGCAACTGGGAGTGCTACTGCCCTAACATTGATTCTGCAGTCTCTCCAAGACACAATTCCGGGGTCTTACACAATTCCCCCATGCACCCGGGCTCAGTCAACAAGCTGTTCTACCTCTTCGCCCTTACTTCAATATGCCTTGTGGATTTGTTCATTTGATCTATCACGCTATTGTGATTTCTGTGTATCTTGAAGCATGAGCGAAGAGGTAGAACAACTTGTTGACAGGCCCGGGTGCATAGGGAAATTGTGTAAAAACCTACTTTGTGTCTCGGAGAAACTGCGGGACCGTGTGAGGGCAGTAGCACTCCCAGTTGCAATTTTTTTACCATGTCGTAGCACAATCGACTAAGGCACGTCTGGGATCATCCCAGATGTAGGTTCGAGTCCTCATCATGGCCCTTTGTGGATATGTTTATTTAACAGTGCAATATACTGTGTAGTAGAAAGGAGAGTAATATATATTTCTAAATGGTAAAATAATGTAATTAAGAATGAAGGTAAACAACCTTTAGTATTTATTTAAACTGGATTTCTTTTGTTGTTTTAACACTTATGATGCAATTCCTTCATTGTATTGTTCAAGAACAAATAGCCTGGATGTGTCACAATGGAAAGATTGATGATATTCTGGCGAGATATAAGAATTTTGCATGAAGATTGTAACCTTTTGTTGAATTGTCTGAATGTATATTGCAAATTGTCTGTGTACCTAGTCATAAAATTATTTGTGTGTACAGTGGTACCTCGGAATGCGATTGTCCCTGTATGCGAGGTTTTCGGAAGGCGAGGTGTATTTACTCCAAAAATTTGTCTCAGAAGGCGAGGGTTACTTCGGGAGGCGAGTTTGGACGCGAGTTTGTTGATACGCGTACAGCCGACCTAGCGCGTTCGTCGCCCCTCCGCCCCCCCGCCCCTCAGTTTATTATTGTCTCGCGCTCAGTGACTACCCCCACATCAATTCTTCTCGCGGATTTTCAGTGTTTTGTTGGATTTTTGGTGATTTGTCTATACAATTTGTTATTATATATCTCACCGTGGGTCCCAAGAAAGCCAGTGGTAAGAATAAAGGCCAGAAAGCTCATGTGAGGATGACAATAGAGGAGAAACAAGAGATCATTCGGAAGCATGAGAACGGTACACGTGTTGTTGAACTTTGTAGGCAGTACAACAAAGCCACATCAACAATATGCACTATACTTAAGAAGAAAAATAAGATTATGGGTGCTAAAGTGGCAAAAGGAGTAAGAACATTAACGGCACAAAGACCACAAATACTTGAAGAAGTGGAAAAGTTGTTATTAATTTGGATACACGACAAGGAGTTGAGGGGTGATAGTGTTTCGGAGGCCATTATTTGTGAGAAAGCCAGGGTGTTGCACGAAGACCTTCTAAAGAATACCCCTGCAACGAGTGATGCAGATAAGAAAGAGTTTAAGGCAAGCAGGGGCTGGTTTGAAAAATTTAGAAAGAGAAGTGGTATCCATAGTGTTACAAGGCATGGGGTTATGTGATGTGATTATGGAAGGGGACTCCCCTTCCAAACAGTAACTCCTCTCCTCCTCCCCCCTCCTCACCATCTTCCATACGCCTACAGCACTCGACAGCAAGGTAAGTAATAACTGGAACACAGTTTTGTAGGTTTATTTAGATGAATTAGGTAAATTAGGTATAAAAATTTAGTTTGATGTGGGGTTTTTGGGGTAGTCAGGAACGGATTAATTCATTTCCCTTTATTTCTTATGGGGAAATTAACTTCGGAATGCGAGTTTTCGGAAGGCGAGGCGTCTCCAGGAACGGATTAAACTCTTATTCTGAGGTATGCCTGTACATCGGGTACCATACTGCATGTACTCACCTAATTGTACTCACATAATTGTGCTTGTGGGTGTTGAGCTCTGGCTCTTTGGTCCCACCTCTCAACTGTCATGTAACAAAATGTGTAAAGGAAGAAATGCATATGTTCATCACTCAGAATGTTCGGTAATATGCTAATTGTTTTTGTTGTGTGTCTATATAGACATGAACACGTTGTACTGAACGGGGTGGGTATAGCTTGAGCTACTAACCCCTTTGAGTGTATTTATACCTTAATAAACTTATTTAAATTTAAATTTGAATTCCAACATTTCTAAATAAATACTTCCTTGGCCTAGGTATGTGATAAATGGAATAATAATGGTCACACATTTGCTGCTGAGTGAAAATCAGTCAGCTCTTACCTCAACCAAGAACAAAATGGTTAGGAGCGCACACACATTTCCTTGGTGAAAATATGGGAACTGTGCTACACAGGCAAGTGAATCTGGTGTATTAGAATTAGGAATTAAGAGCATGGCACAAATGGATTAGGACAGCAAAATCAAGAAAAAGTACATAAAAGGAAGAGCAATTACCTATACTGTATTAACACTTTCGCGTTCCACAGACTTAATAAGTCGTCACTCTTTTTTCTACTGAATGTGTTCCAGTGACGCATTTTTGCGTCACTCGATATAAAAATTTGTAAAAAAAAAAGTTTCTATGCGATCTTCAATTTTTTTTTTTTGAAATGAGCGCCATTGTTTTCCCACAATCCTCCGTAGGCCGCATGGGATTCTGGGTCACGCCATGCGGTCGGCCTAGTCCTTTGTTTACGTCTCTCGTGACCGGACTACCGCGCTCCCGCGTCCAGAACCTGTGCCACTCTCTGCCCTGTGTAGCAGTGTTTATTCGTTCCTGTCTCCTTACAACGCATTATTACTTGCAAACATGGATCGTGGTAAAGGACAGAGCACCTCTACCCCCAAGAAGGATAGTGAAACGACCAAGGAAGATAAGTTGAGTGAGCTGTACAAAAGGTTCAGCAATGTGAAGCTTACCCCTAGTAAAATTCCTGATTTGTTGGATCGTTTGTCAGATGTGGAGGCAGATGCTGAAGGGGAAGAGCGTCAGAGTGATTTCAGTAGTGATAATGAGGGGACAGCGTCGTCTGATGAGTTTGATTCATCATCGAGTGAGGAGAGTAGCGAGGGGATTGAGGATGAGTCAGCGGATGTGGGCCGCCCCAAGGCACCTGTAAGGAGGCGTGCAGGACGTCTTCAACAGCCTAATCCCGATGCTGCCTGGTCAACTGACAATACACCACCTATTGTAGGCAGTTTCAGTGCCACACCAGGCATAACTGTCCCAGTGCCAATTACCCCCCTGCAATTTATTCAATTATTTCTGACCCGTGCCCTAATTGAGTTCATCACAGTGGAAACTAACAGGTATGCCAGGCAGTTTATTCAGAATGCTTCCAGGCGCACTATGAGGTTGTGGAAGGAGGTATCTGCGAAGGAAATGGCAAGGTATTTGGCTTTATCAATCTTGATGGGTATTGCACGACTCCCAACAATGCGCATGTACTGGCAAACAAGCCGGTTGTGGCATATGAGGACCTTCAATGTGTTCATGACTGCAAAACGATTCCAACATATTGCCCAGTTTTTTCATACTTATAACCAGTTTGCAATTCCACCCAACAACAAGAACCGCATGATAAAACTCAGCACCATCATTACCTATTTGACCAACAAATTTGGCTCTTACTACGTCCCCAATCAAGCACTCAGTTTGGATGAAGGTACAATGTCGTGGCGTGGTCGTCTATCCTTCAAGGTTTACAACCCCAATAAGCCTGATAAGTATGGGGTAAAGTTGTACATGCTTGCTGAGGCAGGGACTGGTTATATTATTGATTTCGAGGTTTATTCTGGAGTGGGCAAGACAACAGTTGAGACAGTGATGGGCCTTATGCGACCCTTGTTGAACAAAGGTTATCATCTTTATATGGACAATTATTATAACTCTGTCCATCTCACAGAATTGCTAAGGGAAAATGGGGTGTACACTTGTGGAACACTCAGATTGCAGCGTGGTGCCCCTAAAGAGCTGCAAAAACTTGCCAAAGGTAAATTCGCTGTTGATCAGACTATTTTCAGGCGCAAGGATAACACTTTTGTTATCCTTTGGAAAGACAAGAGAGTGGTGTCAGTGATCACAAACTGCCATAATGCTGACACACAGGAAGTACAGAGAAGGAAGAGAGTGAAGAAACGTGACGGAACATCATCTGTTCAGATTGTAACTGTAAACAAACCAACAGCCATTTGCGACTACAACAACAACATGAAGGGAGTTGATCACTTCGACCAAATGGTCAAATATTACAGGTTCACCAGGAAGTCGCATAAGTGGACTAAGAAGATCACATTTTACTTCCTTCAGATGGCTTTACACAATGCCTATGTGTTGTACAAGATGTACACAACTGATGCCAAGAAACTGACCCTACTCCAGTTTCATGAAGTAGCAATATGGGCCCTGTTGGGGTGGGACATGGATGAGTGGCCTGCTACTGAAAGCCCTCTCCCACATGCTGATGATTACCAGGATCCTTCTCATGATTTGGCAACACCTGGCCCATCTGGAGCGAGGCGTCCTTTATTTCATCGTCTTCCACGCCAACCACATGCCTCATCCTCATCAGACACTGAACCTGAAACTGAAACGCCTGCACCTCAAGCTGAAGCTACTCCTCCACCTGTGAAAAACCCCCGCATTGTTGATTCAGAGGACAGGCTAAACAGGAAGTTGACTCATGCATTAGTGAAAATTGCTAAACGGAAACGGTGCCGAGTTTGTATCAAGTCGGGAATTAGAAAAGACTGTATGTATCAGTGCAGGACATGTGGAGTTGCTCTATGTGCCACACCATGCTACTCAAAATATCACCGCAAGAGGATATTTTGGAAAGCAAAGAAATAACTCCTCTGCAAGCTTCCACTCCACCTAACGTAACATCTGTTGAGCAACTTCAGGGACATTTTCCTGAAGCCGGTGGAGTGGATAATCAAATGCTCAACTTGTTGACCTTCCTTCATCACATCGTGGGTAAGTACACATAATTTATATTACACATTTTGAGGTTATTACTTCTTCATACTTTGCTGTGGGTAGCTCTATATATATTCCAGTTCTTAGTGCTCAGATTGGTATGTCTACATAGTGCATCTTCTTGCGAGTATTTTGACACCAAAATGAACAATGTAGCACAAAAACTTCCATTGGAACAATATTTTTGTTTGTCGGGTGTATTGGGTGTACCGGGCGTGGAAACGGGTGTTTGGGCGGGTGAGGCATCGACGTGTTTGGGGGTGTTTGGGGGTGAGGCGCGCACGTGTAACCCACTTTTATGCATATGTCTGTGTAGGCAATTTTATTGCGATCACCGTGATACCAAACAAAACCATATGCAACAAGTTTTGACTTGATAAACACAATCAGAGTAGCAACATATAGGGAGAGTTTAGCGGAGTTTAGCGTGAGCGCGAAACAAAGCACGCAGTTCTTTGGTTGCTGGTCGCCTAATGTTAGCTTTGGTGAAATGTTATACATATGTTCTTATAGTACATTTCATTAGCTACACAGTGATACCAAAAAAAAACACGTACATCGAAAATGAGGGTCACAGACATGAGGAGAGTATAAACTTTTCAGTTGTGGTTGAGCGCATGTGCAGCTGGGCGCGCTCCGGCGGGTAACCCTAAGCCAACTTCCCACATTCCTGTGGGTGGGGCGACACCATTATTTATTGTGTATATTTATATGTCCGTGTAGGGAATTTTATTGCGGTCACAATGATACCAAAATAAACCACGAATAATAATTCTGGGGTTCGCAAACATAAAAACATCGTAAACATTGATGCCCGGTTTTACGCTCACAGCTAACGACCGCCACAGTTTGTTATTCGGTGTGGTTCTCATGTTGTCTTTGGTGACATTTTATATATATATTCCTCTAGAGCATTCTCTCGCGAACACAATGATACCAAATTTAAATACATGCCGCCAAAATTAAGCTCCCCACCCCGAAAAGATTATAAACATTTTAGTGCTGACGCGCAGTACGCCGACACGAACGGCCCACTTAGGGCTTACCGTCAGCCTATTCCCAGGGAGCGCGAAAGTGTTAATAAAAATGCAGAACAAAATATTAATCATCACTCACAGTTTCATCTGAGATAATGAGACTCGGTACACCTAGAAGTTAATAAGAGGAAATTCACAATCAAAACTGTTACAGTAGAACAAATAAAACGAACCTGATGTTGAGGTAGAAAGAATCAATTTTCTCAATGAAAAAGCCGCCAGACCAATAACATCCGGGAATGTCGCGAAGGCATATACAGAGAAGTTGATCCTTATCAAGACGAGGCCAGTGGAAGGGTAGCCAGCAGCCTGGGATGGCACGTAACCATGTTGATTGGGCACCTGGATCAGTCTGAATTCAAAGATAATTGTAAATGTTTATAAAAAAAAAAGTGTTGAATGTAATGAAATGCCATTTTCTGGGTGAGTCCCGGAGGCTTCCCGCAGCTATCCAAGCTCAATGGATATGTATAACTTTCTAGCATCAGTCAAAGTGCTTGGAGTTCTTGCCTACCAGGCACCACAAGCCAGAACCTGGCCCCCACAGAGAGGCACGAGGAGCAATGGCCTATAGAAACCCCCCTGTGGTTGGGTACATTCTATGTCTGCCATCGACCGGGATAGGCACCCAGAAAGGTAGGCGCCCAAAACAAACCCCTATTCTGGTGAAAATATTGCTACCAAAAGCCGAACGAGTGGACAGAACTCCCCAAACAAAATTATCAAACTAGCATGACGTCATCACGTTGCCGCACCACCATATGCGCAACCCCCCCCCCTCACCAGGAGGGGGAAAGGGGAGCCCCAGACCCAGCGATCCAACTGGCAGTTTTTAGGCTGGATATCAAAATACGCAAAAAACACAGCCGATCAGAGGGAGGGAGGGAGGGATGCCAGGGAGCCTCCGGGACTCACCCAGAAAATGGCGTTTCATTATAATCAACGCTGGTTTTCTGGGGGGGAGCCCCGTCGGCTCCCCGGAGCTACCTCACCACAGATAAGGAAATAGGGAAGGATCCGGGAGGCGGACACCACGCGCCCTAACCTAAAAAACCAAGACCACAGACAAAACAAAGACCCTGCAGACCCGAACCCCCGAACAGGAACGAGGGAAGAAAGGGAACGCGGACAACCAAAACACGTCCACGACCCCAGAGGCCAAGACACTCAGAGAACAGCGAAAAAACAAGCAAACATCACACTTTACTGCCGCGCCAATCGTCCGCACAGCCCTCCCCGCCCCGAGAGGGGGGAAGGGGGAGCCCTGGACCTCACCGCGCCGGCTGCCTAGCATCAGTTTGTAAGCTAATGTCAACCGGGATAGACGCTTCTCTGGCCTCAAATTCCTGGGCGGTGTTTGCCTCGTGTGGCATTCTCTGCTGTCTGTGTGTGTTGTGTGGTAGCCAGGAGTACCTCATCAGTGCCTGGGCTGCATGCACTTAGGGGTTTCCTTCCCTAAGTGCCCTGTGAGTACTGCCCCTGAGTGACAGGGTTATCTTCCCTGGAGCATTTGGGAACCATTCCCGTAGAGGTTCTAGCTGCTCGGTATTTGCCTCGCCCTTGGGGTCAGCTGGGGCTTGGGGCCCTTGTTTGGCCCTGGGTAGGGACTGGTATTGTGCTGGTTAGGGCGTCAAGGTGTTGCGCGTCCTGCCACCTAAGCGGCGACCGGTTCCTGTTGCCTCTGGAGACAGTGTACTTTTGCGGGGGTTTTCTTTTGTTTTTATTTCATTTGCCTTGTGGGGGTCTGCCTAGTGTGGCTATAGTTCCACTGGTAGTGTTTGGTGGCCCTCTGCTAGGCCTCCGTGATTGTACACGTCGCAAGGGTTTTCAGTGTTGTCCTCTATCCCCTTGTTATTTTTGGGTTTCTTAACCAGTTAGCAACACCTTGCCTGGGCTTCCCGTAGTTGTTACCCCTACAGGCCCTGGAAACCCCTGTCTGGGCTCGGTGGACCATTGAATATGTCTTCTGGGTTCCAACCCGTCTTGTACGGGATGGTTGGTTGCTGTGCCCTTGTCTCAGGGTGACAATCACCACTTTTTTTTTTTTTTTTTTTTTTTTTGTGTGTTTTTACATCCAGCCTCAGAATTGAGGTGTGGGTAGCTGGCGTGAAGGGTCTGGGGCTCCCCCTTCCCCCTCCCGGGGAGGGGGGAGCTGCGCAGACAGCGGCGCGGCGACGTGTGACGTCACACTAGTTTGCTTGTTTTCTGTTGGAGAGTTCTATCCTCTAGTTCGGCTTTTGGTAGCAATTTTAACCAGAATAGGGGTTTGTTTTGGGGCGTTTACCTTTCTGGGTGCCTAATCCGGTCGAAGGCAGACATAGAATGCTTCCAACCACACGGGGGTTTCTATAGGCCATTGCTTCCCTTACCTCTCTGAGGGGGCCCGGTTCTGGCCTGTAACATATTGGAGGAGTGACAGGTAGGCTTCTAACATGGGTGAAAAATTAAGTTCTTGCTCAGTAATGTTCATTGTCTACATACACAATCTATCAGATGGAATACAGAATTATATGAACACATTTGCTGATGATGCTAAGATACAAAGGAAGATAAGAAACTCAGATTATTGTCATGACCTTCAAGAAAACCTAGACAAAATAAGTGCATGGAGCACCACTTGGCAAATGGAATTTAATAAGAATAAATGCCATGTTATGGAATGTATCATAGGAGAACATAGACCCTACACAAACTATATGCTAAGTGAGAAATCTTGAAAGAATTCTGATAAAGAAAGAGATCTAGGGGTGGTTCTAGATAGAAAACTATTATCTGAGGACCACATAAAGAACATCGTGCGAGGAGCCTATGCTACACTTTCTAATTTCAGAATTGCTTTTAAAAACATGGATGGTTAAATACTAAAGAAATTGTTCAAGACTTTTGTTAGACCAAAGCTGAAATATGCAGCGGTTGTATGGTGCCCATATCTTAAGAAGCACATCAACAAACTGGAAAAGGTACAAAGACATGCTACTAAATGGCTCCCAGAGCTGAAGGACAAGAGCTATGAGGAGAGGTTAGAGGTGTTAAATATCCCAAAACTAATAGACAGGAGAAAAAGATGCGATATGATTGTTACGTACAAAATAGTAACAGGAATTGATAAAATTGATAGGGAAGAATTCCTGAGACCTGGAACTTCAAGAACTAAAGGTCATAGATTTAAGCTAACTAAATAAAGCTGCCGAAGAAATATAAGAACATTCATTTTCGCAAACAGAGTGACAGACAGTTGGAATAATTTGTGTGAGGTGGTGGAGGTCAAAACCCCCAATAGTTTCAAAGTATTATACGACAAAGAGTAATGGGAAGACAGGACACCACGAGTGTAGCTCTCATCCTGTAACTAAACTTGGATAATTACACTTCTGTAATTATATTAATCCTGAATTGGTAATGCTGTAGTGTGAAAAATGTGACATTTTCAACATTTTATCCTTTTTCATAAACTGTACTTTTTTTTTCTATGAATAAATGCCTCAAAATCCCATGCAAGTGAGAAATGGAAAATAATAATCATGACAACAATGTGTTCACACACTACATTCAATCCAAACACTATATGATCACACTTCATACAAACAGTACTGTACATGCATACAGGATGACAAACACAATATGAATGACAAAATGGAGCAGACTGCAAAGTAGTGATGCAGCATTATTGCTGACCCTGCAACCCCTTGCCTCTCTCACCAGAAATACAAAAAAACAGATGACTATCACTTGTGGAAAGAGCACCATTACTTCTGCAGTACTGCATCTATTATAAAGACAACCCTAGTATGCAACCTGTTTACTGACTTGTCCTTATTAAAATATGAACAAATGTATAGTGATTGCTACTTACAAAAGATGTCGTAAAGCACTTCTGAGCAATGATCAATTCATGTGAAGATCTGTTTTCAATTTGGAACCTGGGTGAAAATGTGACCATGTAAGTATCTCTGTAACGTCCACGTCCAGGTCTCACGTCGATACCAACAATGTAAACATGGTCAGGACGAGTATCTGGAGGACTCACTCTTAGTCGCCTCACCCACGTTCCTTGAGTCAAGGGCAGCTTGTGGCAATACTGTAAATGAGTAAGACAATGGAATATTCAAACCCATCCTCCTAAAATAAAATTACTGTACTAATAGTAACTACTTGTTCGAAAGCACCAACATGTAGTGATGGAACACCAAAAAGTTAATTTTTGTACTTTTAATTGTATATAACTTGGTATAAAGCTAAAAACCAAATTCAAACGTTCCTAGTATAGTACACTACAGTATAGTACTGTATGTATGTATGTATGTATGTATGTATGTATGTATGTATGTATGTATGTATGTATGTATGTATGTATGTATATCATCTATATATAAGTATATTTTGGTAGCAGTCTTTCTTTTAAACATATTTCGTTGAAAACGACAAAGTTTTAGATTGATGATCCTGGCATGAATCTTCTCAATATTCCTTATATTTTTCTTCACTGAAGCAGGAAGATTAAAAATTAACTCTCCAAAGCTGTATGTGGACCTTGTCAGGAAGACACCAGGCACGTGGTCTGAAGATGAGGAGATATTTAGGGCAAGCCGGAGATGGTTTGAGAAATTTTGGAGGAGAAGCGGTATACATAGTGAGGCTGCCAGCTCAGATAAAGCTGCTGCCAAAAAATTAGTAACAGAGTTCTAAGAATTCATTGCTAGAGAGGAGTTCTTGCCCCCAACAAGTTTTTAATTGTGACGAGACTGGCCTGTATTGGAAGAAATTGACGAAGGGGGACTTACATCATGCAAGAGGAAAATCTTTGCCTTGCCACAAGCCGATGAAATTGAAATAAGTTTATTGAGGTAAAATACACACAAAGGAATGAGGTAGCTCAAGCTATTCTCACCCCATTCAGTACATCGTGTTAATACATACATAGACACACATCACAAACAATAAACATATTACCAAACATTCTGAGAGATAAACATATACATTTCCTCCTTTACATAAGTAGTATGGTATCAGACGTACACATAAATACTTTTATGACCTAAGTATACTGTATACACAATTTGCAAGAGACATGCAGATAATTCAACAAAATATTACAGTCTTGGTACAAAATTCTTATATCTCTCAAGAATATCATCAACCTTTCCGTTGTGACACATCCAGGCTATTTGTTCAGGAACAGTCCTTATCTCAGTGTTTCTATATACAGTAATCAACGGACAGTCAAGAACATAATGGGCAAGGGTGTGAGACCTTAACATACCACATAGTTTACACTTCGTGTCATTATCATGAACACCTATCCCATATTCCCAGTAATATTTGTAACCAAGCCTGAGCCGCATGTACACAGAGTCACTCCAAGCATTTCTCCTTTTACCATAAGTGAAATGAGTGTTTTAACTCTCATACATGTAGTGTTGCATGGTTTGACTTCTTTCATACATTATACTTCTCCTCTCCACTTCTGCCTGTGCCTGAATATTTCTGATTTTGCTTCTGATTTGTCTCATTGTGAATTAACATTCAATGTCAACTTGTGGTTTTGATGTGGCATGTTTGGCCAAGTCATCCGACACCTCGTTGAGCACTATTCCAACATGAGATGGAATCCACATGAATTTCACACTATGACCTTTCAGCTGTATCTCAGTTATTCTTTTCTTACAATCCTCAACTATGGACATGAAGACTGGGTTTCGACTGTTTAAGGAATCAAGTGCTCCTTGGCTATCGACAAATACAAAAAACACTTTTGTCGTCATGACGTACTTCCTCCAAACATGCCAGAATGGCCGATGAAGGATCGGCTTATCCTCATGCTCTGTGCCAATGCAAGTGGCGATTACAAGGTCAATCCGCTGCTCGTCTACCACTCAGAAACTCTACAAGTGTTCAAGGTGAGTAAAGTGCACAAGACGTGACTGAATGTGATGTGGAGGTCCGATAAGAAATCTTGGGTCACACGGATATTCTTCAGTGAATGGGTCAATGACGTTTTAGGCCCCCTCAGTGAGGAGTAATCTTGAATAGAAGCGGTTACCACTCAAGGCCTTGCTTGTGCTTGATAATGCTCCTGCGCATCCTCCACAGACACAAGATAATTTGTTGCAAGAAAATCAGTTCATCACCATCAGGTTTTTTCCTCCCAACACCACTCCACTCCTCCAACCCATGGACCAGAAAGTCATTGCCAAATTTAAGAAGCTCTACATGAAGGCCTTTGTCGGAAAATCTGACACCATTTAATAATAATACATGCAATTTGCAGATAATATTGCTGCTGTGTTGTATACACAAGTTACCCATAGAAAATGTAGCTTGCAGTGGAATTTTCTGTCAATAGAAAATGGGATATCATTGGCACATAGTACTATAAATTCACCAGCTATTCTGTTGGGAATTATTCTTAAATACAGTAGTCTTTGGACTTTTAATATCATAAAAACATCTCATTTGAGTTAACTTAATTATCAGTATCAAAATAAAGTAAATGTGATCCTTCTATCACTTATTGACATTGGACAAGGAGAGCCAAGGCGTCAGTGGTGGTGAGGGGGTCAGCCATTGTTTGTTAAGACCAGAGGCGCAGGGGAGCAAATTCAGCTCCTATAATTTCTCTTGGCCGAAGTGTTATGGAGATCAAAGTGTTCTACCATCATCAACACGCTGTCAACATAAACAAGGGAAGTGTCCTACCGAAACCTGTTTATCTAATTATTTCTGGCCAGTTAATGTTAGGTAGATAAGGGCGAACCGGTTAGGATGCGAACAGGCTCTTAATAAAGGTAATTAAGCCTTGGTCCATATTATTTAATATACAATGTTTTCTCTGATATAGCTGTCATATATTAGGATTCCGGCTTGACAGCTAGTGCTCTTTGACAGGAACAAGAAGAGGAAGCAAATTAATCTTGTTACATCAGTTACCAGGGTGATGGAAGCTAGCCTCACACGAGGATAATTTGGTGTCTACATCCTAGTTATATCTGGTGGACTAAGCCTGCTGTACAATAAGATAAGGCACCCCCAATTTTATATACTAATAATATATGTAGTTTAATACTGTAGTTTGATTGGCTGCATATATATAAACTTAATATAAACCCCCCTAATGTCTAAGGATTGATTTGTGAGATTATTGCAGAAATACAGTCCACTTAACATCATACCAATTGCTATCGAAATATATAAATTAACATAAATATAAATTCTATAAAAATTCATATAAATTAAATAAATATAAATCTCACAGGTCGGTTCCCACAGCCTTGTTGGTGAGGTGTATTGATATAATAGACACTACAAAGCTGACCCTCAAAAGAATTCTAGAAGGAGCACTTCAATATCCTGGGTGCCTTGCGTTTGATCAATAAGGCCTGGGAAGGAGTAACACAGAGGACCCTAAACTCTGCATGGCGCAACCTGTGGACTGAGGGTGTCCGTGAGCTAGACTTCGAAGGTTTCGGTCATGCACCTGCATCTGCACCTGTGGACAATGTGGACCATCTAGTGGATGATATTGTCGCTCTAGGGAACACTTTGGGTCTGGAGGTGGATGTTGCTGATGTGCAGGAGTTAGTACAGGAGCGCAGTGATGAACTGACTACTGAGGAACTTCTGGAACTTCAGAAGGAGCTGAATCAAGAGGAGGTACAAGAGCTCTCATCAGGGAAGGTGGTGGTAAGGGAGATATATATACAGAAGTGAGAGTGACCATTATCATTAGACCCAAGTTTGATCCCCAGGCAGGCCAAGACATTTGGCCATATTTCCTTACAACCTGGCTAGTAACAGTCAGTATGTAAGCTAGGGAACCTAATGAGAGGGTAGCCCAGAAAATTGTTTAAATATGCAAGACAAAACATGTAATTTACCCAAATTTACCCAAATGTGAATACAGTACCTGAATAAAGAGCAAAATTTACAATATTCTTACTTGTGCACGTGATTCAGGGTGCAGCTGATTTCCAACTCTAGCAGCCAACATAGGGTTGGCATCACGATCAGTGAAAGAGAAGAGTAATGGAGCTGCACACCGAGCTACTTCATGTTCCTTGTCTTGACCTAGAAATATTAAAATTATAATTTTGTGTATTATTACAGTCCATTATGATAAAATTTGATAATATACTAAAATTTTAAACATAATAATATTGTTTACATCTGGTACATCATTTATCACTAGTTATTTGGGCTTATTGTGAAGTTTTGGACATTCCACGATTCTCCATAACAGCCTTCCTGTCACTGACACACACACACACACTATCCTTCCTTGGTGTTCTCAGTCTATCTTCCTTTCATCTTTATATCCTATTCACGAATATTACACTTTCAACTAATCGGGCTGTTTGTCCAGATAATACTGATCAATGTACCTGGCATTGTCTGAGCTGTGCACTCAGCTCTGGCTGAGCCAGTGCCACACTTTGCGTCCAACCTCTGCACCCAGCCTGTGTGCCCACCTCTGCTTTAGCTTATGCCTAGCTGAGCATGGGCTACGTGCCTGGTTCTGCCAGACTGTATGATTAGCAGTACCTGCAATTTTGCCTGTCTGGCTGCACATCTGGCTGTGTGTCCTGGTATTCTCTGGTAACATATTAGGATTTTTCTAGTTAGTTGCTGGGGTTTTGTCTGGTTCCACAGCCTTAGGACCCTGGATTTTTAGTCCTCCTGTTTTGTTTTCCTGTAATTTTGGCCTTTCTTATGTCTGCATTCCTGGTAGTTTGGTTGGTTTTTGGGCTTGATGCTTGTTCTGAGTAATCAAAGCAGGTGATGATCTTTGGCTCTGCCTGGAGGTACCCCTTAGCCTCGCCTCACAGGGGTTGTATGCTGTGTGGTTCTTCTGTTCTGCTACCTCTTTTCTCAAGTTAGCCCTGGCTACTTGTCTGTCCCAGGCCTAAGAGCCTTATCTATTGAGATGATGATGTCAGATTGTAATACCCTGTAAAGCCCTAAAGAACTGCCCTTTTCTGGCAAGGACAAACAGTAGCTCTCAATCCCTACCATGTTCCATACTGCACAGTAAGGTGGTCGGCTTCATTTTGGGCGGCTCATGAGTGTTGGGGTTGGCTGGCTGGAGCCTTGGGTGCAATATGGCTTGTGTGTTTACAGAGGCAATGGTAACAATGGCAACCTTGAATTTATAATTGTCTTCAAATAGTTGCTACTGTTGTTACGCTTATGCTTGCTGGAGGGTTTTTTCTTGGTTTTCAGAGTATCTCTGATACCCAAGCTCCCTTTCTGTTGTAAGTTTAGCCAGATGCTGGTTCTGGCTTGTGGTAACTTAGGGTGGGTCTTAGAAGCCTAGTGCATTCTCCTAAGGTACTGTAAAACCAGTGCTCACCATCAGGAAGCTACTGAAGAACCCAATAACAAAACACAAATCAATGTTTCAATGCATCCAATACTGGATACTTTTATCATCATACAATGATTACTTATATCCAATTTCAATGATTACAAGTAATCATACACATACATTATCTACAATTATTATTATTATTATTTGACCAGTATGTATACTGTACCAAAATTCTTTCACTCATGGCCTTCAACAAGAAGGGCACGAGTGAATTTGACAGTGGGAAAGTGATGCTTATTTCCTTTCTAACTCCTTAATCAGCTACATTGTCTAAACCACAACAATATCCTTTAACTCGGTTACTTCTACATGTAAATATATATTACTAGAATTTCTCGCTTATTTCCATGTAATGTTCTACCTTTTGTTCTAGTCGAGATAATCTTCCACCTTTCCACCCGTGTTTCTGAATGTAAGCAGTAGCTGCTCATTTAAATGATAGCTAGACAAAATAAAGAAACCTTTACCAAAGTTTCATGTGCTGCTTCAAGTCTCCAATATGTAGTGGAAATTTCTGGAATATTGCATGTATATAAAAATCTAAATATTAATAACAATTTTGCCTCTTTAAAACTGTAAATAAGATGATAATTACATACCAGCAGCATCAGATGATACTCCTTCCTGTTTGAAGATAAGAGGGAGACCTGTTTTGTTGATCAACCAGTATCCTGCATACACAACCACCTACCAAACACAGATCACAAAACTGGTTATGGTTTCATCACACTCAATCATCCCAGGAATGGATCTCATCTCCAATCCCAGTATGTGATATAATTTTTATATTAAATATTCGTAAATCCCACATTTTCCCTCCTCTTACTTCTTGCCACATCCTCCCTCCTCCACTATATACATGGCATAGGAAACAAATGTATATATGGAATGCGTGCTTCAGTTAAACCTAAAATACTGTAAACTCTGTATGATAACAAAAGGCAGCATGATATTACTGTACATAAAATTCATAACACTGCTCAGTATACCATTAGCTCGTCAACAATAGTTCAGGGCATGTAAGACTACTAAAACTGATCTTAACCCATATACTGCACATTAATACATGTCAAACCCCATGGTTCAGTAACAAAATTATTCCCCCCCCCCATTTTGTTTTATTCTAATATTGTTAAAATGCTATCCCTGATCAATGGAAACTAAGAACAAAAATATTGTAAGTGACATACATTAGTCGTGATGGGGTGAGTAAGTCTGGCTATATAAGTATTGCATTGACAGAGCAGTTGCCTGCTGCAGTCTGCTCCAACCAGGCCATGGCACCGGAGTTGCCACAAAGATATTATTACACAAATATATAAATGTCTCTGAATTTTTTTTTTTTTAGCTAGTTTTTTGCAGTAATATTATTCAAATAATTTAAAGAAATTATATAGTTAGGTGTGTGGACCTAAAAATTATATAGTTAGGTGTATGCTAAAAAACCAGCATTGAAGGTAATGAAACGCCATTTTTTGGGCGAGTCCCGGAGGCTCCCCGGAGCTTACTAGGCTGATATGTTAATGTCAGACTTTGGTATCAGTCATGTGTATGGAGTTCTTATGGGCCTACCGGGAACCACAAGCCAGAACCTGGCCCCCTCTAGAGAGGCAAGGGAAGCAATGGCCTATAGAAACCCCAGTGTGGTTGGAAGCATTCTATGTCTGCCATTGACTGGGCCTGTGTGTTGTTGTGTGGCTGCCTCCACACAACAACACTGCAGAGGTCGCCACAAAGGCAAAACTCTGCTTTGGAAATCGAGGCCAGAGAAGACGTCCACCCCGGACCACATTAGGTAACGAACTGAACTGCTGGGTAGCTGGCACAGGAAGATCTGGGGCTCTTCTCTCCCCTCTCTTGGGAACGGGAGGGCTGCAAGGACGAGCGGAGCAGCAGTGGAGTGTGACGTTTGCTTATTTTATTGTTTTCTTGGGATTGGAGGAATTTCTACCTCTCTTTTCGGTTTATAATTGTAATTTTCTTACCATGTGAGGTTTGTTCTGTTATGCCTAGCTTTCTGGGTACCTAACCCCAGTCGATAGGTCCATCTCCTTAAACTAATGACCCGGTCTAATATATCACACATTAAGCCGATAGCTCCAGGGAGCCGAAGGGGCTTCCCAAAGAAAAGTCCATTCCCACAAGGTATTTTATCAATAATACTGTATATACAGTAATTATAACTAGTGCTGATACCGAGTATTTCACCAAAGAGACCAATACATATAAAAATCTCATATTTAAGCAAGGCAATATAAAATTTTGGTCAATATAACCCAGTAATCAAGGTTAACTTGTGTGTTAACCCTGTATGCAGTTATGTTTGTTCACTAACCTTGACGGCACCTCCATACTGCGGCCGAATTTTCAAGTTAACATAGATAATGCGCTTATGCATGTCTTGAAGCTTGAGGGGCATTATATATGGTGAAGATGCTGGGTTCAGAGTTATCTCCCCACATGACTCAAGTGTATCAGTCCAAACAGACAATGACATGCTATCTGCCGGATCAACCGAATGCAGGCAAGCATCTTCTCCAGGCTTCACTCGGCCATGATTTCCAGTTACCTTCATTTCATAGTGTATATCATAAGGTAAAAGATTTACCAAAGTTAGTGGACTAACCAGTACCACTGTGTGGCCAGGCTGAACCTGGAATATAAATGACAGGTAAGTGATACACTCACACTAAAACATAGAAGATTAACAAAGGATCAAATACTGTAATATAAAAGGAAACTGCTATTAAAGCCAACAAGCTGTCTTGATCAAGATCCTTGTGATTTATGTAGCACAATCTGTGCTACATAATGCAAAGATTTTGTACGAGACACCAAATTATTTTTCATTACATGTAATTAAATCCAACAAAAATAAACTGATGGTTTCTACTTTCTTATTCACTTGAATTTTCCCTTATTAGATATAACTGTACATTTACAGATGAGGAGTCACAATACAGTAATGTGACTGAAGCATATTGACCAAACCACACACTAGAAAGTGAAGGGACGTTTCGGTTCGTCCTGGACCATTCTCAAGTCAATTGAGAGAACACAATCAACTTGAGAATGGTCCAGGATGGACCGAAACGTCGTCGTCCCTTCACTTTCTAGCGTGTGGTTTGGTCAACTGTACATTTATATTATTCTTCCTATATTAAAATATTAAACAAGTAGAGATATAAAGTAAATTTGTTGTGCAGTTAAGATGAGGCAAGGGAGAAAAATGAAGTATTGGATGTACAGTAATAAAACACCATGTTCTGGAGGCCCAGTAGTTACTCCTCCCAGGAAACATTTACAATTATAAGACTTTTTGTCACTGGCCACACTTAAGACTATAACAGGAATTCAATTTTTTTTTAACTTTGTAATGATTTCCAGTTAGGAACTCCAGTACTGTATAAAGAAAACAAAAATTCTTTTTAATAATATAGCTATGTACGAGTCACTGTCACTTCCAGTCTTGGGTGAATTAAAGAATAATGTTTATAGGGAAATATCTAGGCACATTACCTAATACAGAGAAAAGCTCAATATTAGCAAACAAAGAGTTCATCATGCTATCCTACTCCTACATTACCATGATCCAACATTACTTATTGTTAATACAAATATTCAATTCAATAATGAAACAAGTACAGTACAGTATTCAACTTCAAGATGGAGCATAATAATGATGATAATAATTCACTGTGTTTGAGAACAGGCAGCCACAGTGTACATATTCATGTTAGGCTTATATTGAGGCCCTCTCCCAGGTAGAATTACTGGCCATTCCCCCCCCCCCCAAGGATACAACCCCACAAGCTGACTAATTCATGACTACCTACTTACTGTTAGGTGAACAGCGCATTAGCTGATAGGAAATGCACTCAACCATTTCTGTCCCGCCCAGATTCGAACCCGAAATTGTCAATTGTGAATCAGAAATGAACACAATTGTACTACCGGGACCCGGATAGAGTGCATGTCAATATGCAAAGTCCATCCACCTATGTATACACTTCTTATATTTATTACTATAATTCCTGCATTGTCCTTCCTTTTTATCCACAAAACACAAAACTGAGTTAGACCTACTGTCCAAAATCTGTAAGGTTTAGAATACTTTAAGTGTATTTACTAACCCATTCATTGCAACGAGAGATCGTATGTGAAGAGCTTGATGGTGGAGTAGAGTGAGAAGCATCTACAGGGAAATTTTCTCTTCTAACATGAGCACAAAACCTGGGAATTTAACATAATTACAATATTGAACAGATATTTTATAAATCTTCTCAATTTCAAACGTAAGTGTTTTTTCTATAGTGCAATATAAAATAATGTTAATCTTAACCTTCTTCGTGCTCTAGGAGATGGCAGTCAACTCAAGGAAAATCAACTTACAACACAACTACTGTTCATGTATCTTGAAAAACAGTTCCAAATCACGTAATGTTTCACCAGGTATTCGACTTTAAAAAAATAGATCTATGAATCCAGCGAATATTGCTATCAATTGGTGGAATAATCAAATGTAATAACCAAAAGCTTATCTCTTCAATTAAGGTCTGTTATGTTCTTCTGTATACAGCATAGATACAAAGCTAGCTAGATAGATTGATTGACTTATATTTTAAGTATATTGCAGTCAATTTACAAGCTTGAAAAAACCAGCGTTGAATGTAATGAAATGCCATTTTCTGGGCGAGACCCAGAGGCTTCCCGGAGCTATCCCAGGCTGATATGCTAATGTCAGACTTTGGCAGCAGTCATGTGTATGGAGTTCTTAGGGCCTACCGGGGACCACGGCCTGAACCTGACCCCCTCAGAGAGGCAAGGGAAGCAATGGCCTATGGAAACCCCCGTGTTGTTGGAAACATTCTATGTCTGCCATCGACCGGGTCAAGCATCCAGAAAGGTAAGCGTCCCAAAACAAACCCCCTATTCCGATTAAAATTGCTACCAAAAGCCGAACTAGTGGACAGAACTCCCCAACAGAAAACAAGCAAACTAGTATGATGTCACACGTCACCGCGCCGCTGTCTGCGCAGCTCCCTCTTCCCTGGGAGGGGGAAGGGGAAGCCCCAGATTCTCACACCGGCTATCCACCCATCAGTTCTTCGGCTAATGCTAAAGGCACCGGTTGTGTGCTCCGGCTCCGGTGGTTGTATCAGCACTGTACCTAGAGTGTGGTGTCTGTCATCTAGGTGGTGCGTGAGCCGGGAACGAGTCTCCAATACTTGGGCTGCATGCGCCTAGGGTTACCTTCCCTAGATGCCATATAAGTACTGCCCTTGGGGCTTGGAGTTACCTTCCACAAGTTCCTTGGGTCCTGCTTCTGCTAGGCAGAAGCCAAACCTACTGTTTGGTTTTCGGCCGCCATTTGTGTGATAGGGGGTTCTGTCTCCCTTGTTCGCCTTAGGGTAAGGGGCAGTTTGCACTTGTAGGAGCGCAGGGTACTGCGCAGCTTGTTTTCACCATTCATAGCGGCCGGCTCTGTTCCGCCTGGGTATGCTGTCCTCTCGCCGGGTTTACTTTTTCTTTTTGTTTGTCAACCTGGTGGGGGTCTGCCTTTGGTTCTTGCCCCTTTTTACTGAGTTCTCTTCCTTCTTCCGGTGGTTTCCCCTGCTAGGTCCTGGTGAGTGTACACGTCCCGGGGGTTCAGTTCTTAGAAAGTTATTTGGTAGACTTGGATGCCGGTTAGCAGTACCCCGCCTGGGATTACCTGAGCGCGAGTCTTTTTATAGTAAACGCTCAGGACCCTGGGAAACTCCTAGGGAAAGTGTGGGTCCGATGGATATGGCCCTGGAGTCCCCACTCACTTTGTGCGAGTTCAAGGGTTGCTCTGTCCCCTTGTCTCAGAAAAACTCTCCCTGTTTTGCCTCGGTCTGCTGCCTGTGGGGTCAGTGACACCTTCGTCCCAGAGTCCTGCGAGTTTTGTTGTTTGTCATCGGACCAATGAGCCCCAATGGGGGTTTCCAGGGCCTTTAGGCTGACTGCTAATGGAAGTCCAGGCAAGGTACGGCTAACCGATTATCCCAGAGCTACTAAGCAAACAAACTAAAAGCTGAACCCCTGTGACGTGTGTAATCACAGGGACTTAGCGGAGGGCTACCAAATTCGTACAAGTGGTCCAACAGCCACACCCAGCAGACCCCTACCAGGCAAAACAATACAAAAGAAAAAGAAAAAATCCGCAAAAGCACAACGTCCCCAGAGGATCAGAACCGGCTGCTATGTGTATATCAGACAGCTGCACAGTACCTTGCGCTCCAGCCAGCGACGATGCTACCAATTACCCAAGGTCAAACAGGAGGAAGAACAACCCCCAGCTGACCCAAGGGCGGGCAATCACCGGGCAGCAAAAGAACCACATGGAGGTAGACTCCTGAACGTCCTTTGGAAGATAACCCTAAACCGCAAGGGCAGTACTTACAGAGAACCTAGGGAACACACACCACAACCGCTATGGATAACACTGCTCAAAAGGATGGAGCCAGAGTCGATCGACCACCACCAAACACAACAACCACAGAACTGAGGTTGGGTAGCCGGCGCAAGGAGGTTGGGGGGGAGTTGCGCAGACAGCGGTGCAGCGGGTGTGGTGATGGGTGATGTCATGCTTGTTTGCTTGTTTTCGATTGGGGAGTTCTGCTTGCTAATTTGGCTTTCAGTTTGCAATTTTTAAACAGCTGAAGTTTGCAGGAATTCCTACCTTTCTGGGGTGCCTGACCTGGTAGATGGCAGACAAAGACTGCTTCCAATTACACGGGGGTGTCTATAGGCCATTCCTCCTGGTGCCTCTCTGAGGGGAAGGGGGGGGGCCAGGTTCCGGTGCTGGTCCCCGGTAGACCTAGAACTCCATCAATTGACTGTTGCCACTGTCTAGTATATACACATCAGCCTGGTATAGCTCTGGGGAACCAAAAAGGCTCTCCACAGAAATATAATTAAAACAAAATTTAATATTTCACTATTATGATTATTGCTTGTACTGAATTTATAACTCTACTGTATATGTCTTAAGAACAGAGGCTAGCTTTATTTTACTTGGGCCATATTTGAAGGAAGCATAATTGCCAATGTTTTAACTACAACACGAGGTTAGATTTTATTCTGCCAACACTCGCTTGCATGCAGGTGAAGATCAGAAGCCTTGGTTAAATATTACACAATTTAGAAAAGTGTTGCTTAGCATGCAGACTCTGGGTTGCCTATCATGTTCTGGCGTATATGTTTGTAATAACAATAATTACAAAAATACAAGCTGTCTATTCAATAGCCACATGTGTTAAGGATGGTGGGGGCACTGAAAGGAATGTTGCAGGTAGTTCTAGCAATTTTTAGAAATAAGGAAAGTAAATAACAAAAAAATGTTAACATAAAATATACATAAATAAGCAGCTCAAATGTAAAAAAATAACAGCTTTATACAAAACAACATAACGTAACCACACACATGCTCAACACAACACAACGTAACCTCACACATGCTGAACACAACACAACCTAATCACACACATACTCAACACAACCACCTGTTCAACGTCCTCCCAGCAAGCATAAGAAATATTGCCGGAACAACAGTGGACATTTTCAAGAGGAAACTAGATTTATTCCTCCAAGGAGTGCCGGACCAACCGGGCTGTGGTGGGTATGTGGGCCTGCGGGCCGCTCCAAGCAACAGCCTGGTGGACCAAACTCTCACAAGTCGAGCCTGGCCTCGGGCCGGGCTTGGGGAGTAGAAGAACTCCCAGAACCCCATCAACCAGGTATCAACCAGGTAAACCTTCCACAACCTAACCATACACATGCTCAACACAACATAACTTGACAATACATCCTCACACACAATACTGTACAACACAACCTCTCACACATCAGAACCTGACAACCACCACAACACATCCTCACACAACATAATGTAACATCTACCTAACAATGCAACACTAACAACTATTCTTCCTGTTACCCAAGCCAGGTCAAGTCGGCAGTCTGATGTTCTATGAACAAATTATCATGTCTAAACACATTACCTATCAGAGGAAATACCGTGCCTTCTCATGGGGTAACTGCAGAATCGTCTGAATAATGAATCCTCATCTAACCTTGCTAAAGGACTGTTATGGTACCAGAGGTAATTTAATCAACCAATACCTAAGGATTGTTAGTATGTCACAATAATCCAGCCTGACCAGGATACCAGGAACAGTTGCATCAACTTTTCTCCTTTCAGTTTGCAATGATTTTCTACGTATATTTCATTAAAGTTAACTTTAGACAAGCTTAGTTTTGGTTAAGTTAGGTCAGGTGGCCATTCAAGTAAGGTAATTATTACACTAGCAATTCTATTTATGTAATTATCTAAACATAGTTTAAGCTTTACTTAATGATCCTTTACCTGTGAAAAGTGGCCAGACTACATTAAACACTTCTTTCAGTACAACCAAAGAATCAGTCAATACTCACTATCATCCACAGGTTAACACTTACGAGGTTACACACACACACACACACACACACACACACACACACACACACACACACACACACACACACACACACACACACACACACACACACACTCACACTCACACACACACTCACACTCACACTCACACTCACACTCACACTCACTCACTCACTGGAAAATATTGGAGGGGTGACAGGTAAGCTTCTAACATGGATGAAAAATTTTCTGACTGATAGAAAAATGAGGGCAGTGATCAGAGGCAATGTATCGAACTGGAGAAATGTCACAAGTGGAGTACCACAGGGTTCAGTTCTTGCACCAGTGATGTTTATTGTCTACATAAATGATCTATCAGTTGGTATACAGAATTATGTGAACATGTTTGCAGATGATGCTAAGATAATAGGAAGGATAAGAAACTTAGATGATTGTCATGCCCTTCAAGATGACCTGGACAAAATAAGTATATGGGGCACCACTTGGCAAATGGAATTTAATGTTAAATGCCATGTTATGGAATGTGGAATAGGAGAACATAGACTCCACACAACCCATATATTATGTGAGAAATCTTTAAAAGAATTCTGATAAAGAAAGAGATCTAGGGGTGGTTCTAGATAGAAAACTATCACCTGAGGACCACATAAAGAATATTGTGCGAGGAGCCTATGCCACGCTTTCTAACTTCAGAATTGCTTTTAAATACATGGACGGCGATATACTAAAGAAATTGTTCACGACTTTTGTTAGGCCAAAGCTAGAATATGCAGCG